TGTGTGTGTGTGTGTGTGTGTGTGTGTGTGTGTGTGTGTGTGTGTGTGTGTGTGTGTGTGTGTGTGTGTGTGTGTATGTGTGTGTGTGCGTGTGTGTGTGCTTGCGCACGCGCGTGTGTGTGAGCGACTGTGCGAACATGGTTATACGCGTCTGTGCGTTCGTTCGTTTGTTCGTTTATGCGCGCGTGCGTCGTGTGTGTATGTTTACGTAATTACTTCTGAGTAGCGCATTCGCATCGCCTGGATTATAGACCTGCGGCTTATAGGCCTGGATTATAGACTAGTGCGGACGTGGCCTATCGGAGGTAGAATGGGAGCCGAGGTGAGTGTGTGCCTATACAAAGGGCAACAGCGCCACGCGTAAACACACGAATACTTGCGCCTGTGAGTACTCGCACACAATGACAGTGCGAGTACTGGCGTACATTAGCATATAGAACTGCCACTGCACCGAGCGACATTTGTCAAGCCGAAAGCGGTTAAAGAGCACTAACGTATTTAGCCGAAATGGATAAATATCCATTCCAGCTCTACCTTTTAAATGTGCAAAACTCAAGACGCTCGCGCGCGACCGAAAACGTAAAAGGAAAGTTACTTGTTTTTGTTGCACGCAGGTCCCGCGTAATATTTGCGCGAGCGCGCTTCTAAGCGCGAAATATTTTCTCCCGTGTCATACGAGATGGATTGGATTTTTCCATGAGCACGAAGACCGATCGCGCGCGCATGCTTCGCTGCTCTGAATACATTAGTTTATGTGCAGAAATGGAAACACCATTAATAATAATCAATCGCCTATTTACGAGATAACACATTTCGATGTTTTGACGTGAAATTTATTAGAGTGATTATATCAGTTTATGTTTCTGTTCCTGTAACAATCGATGGCGATATGAGAGCGACGTGAATGCGTTACTACACACACGTACTCTTTATATCAGGCAGAGATTATACTAACTTTGTCACAGTGCAGGTGGTATGGAAATATGTCGGTAAGATAATCACCGCTTAAAGTTGTGCGAGTGTGTGCGTCCGTGCGCGCGTGCGTGTCTTTGTGTCGGTGTGTGTGTACCTGCCTATGTGCGTGCATGCGTGTGCGTGCGTGCGTATGCGTTAAGTGTGTATTCTTAAAGTAGGAAGATAGGTGGATATAATATACTGTTATATAAGTAGCCATTACGTGAGATTATACGCTATAATTTCGCGCACGTGTAAATTACGTGTGAGTAATTGTTTGCCTGTCGTTTCCTACAGACTATTCTTTACAGGGCAGTCATCCATGTAATATTTTGTAAGTACCACTTCTTTTAACCGCGCAGCTAATAATATTATATTAGCGGAAGCATACAGGTAACGATACGTTGAAACGCTTATAAGTTATGCGTTCTAGATATTTATATATAATATGTGTGGCAGCTTTATATTCGATACAGAGTTATTTCGACGTTCTGCTCTTATTTCAATGTGGGTAAGCATGATTATAGGGATGTGGTATCATCCGCATACCTAACTGTGCTGTGATATAGCGTGGTGCGGTAATTCCCCGTGTAGACGTAGATAGGCGACGATCATATGTGTTCACTACCGCCACCAAAGGAATGAATTGGTTAGCAGCAAGCCATTAGATCCAACACGAATGCTCGAGTTATAATTAAAAGCTAATATTAATATTTGTAAAAAAGTAAAACGGGCACCAGATCGATACGTCGTTTTGCATTACTGCGCTGAAAAGCTTATAATTGGAATATTTGGGCGTGATTTTTTCCTCATTTTTGAAGTAAGCGTGTCGAGTACAGCTTGGCTCCGATCGCGACATTATTGATCTAAAACATCACGAGGAATTAAAACAGAAAGCTGGCATTGAAAAAGTGTTAGTGAAATATCGAGCTATCAGATCTCGCCTACTCGTCCTTTCTAAGATAGGCTGTACGCATGATTCTACGATGAATAGCTGCAGTAAGTTTTATTAAATTGAAAGATTCACTTGACAATGCATCGCTTGAAGAGTTTAAAGAAAAATAAAATAATTTTAGCTGTTATGCGTATCAGACCGTATAATTGCTTCTCCTCCCGTTATTCGAATTTTTTCCCTTTATATATAGACATTAAAGAAATCGAGCACGCTATGAATAAACGTCCACATTCTACAGATAAACTCTATTCCGATAGAATTTGATAACGTCATCTATCATTAATGTGTTTGTATTAGTGGCAAAGGTAAGCTGTTTCTCTATCCAATTTAACTTATCCACTAATCCAGCCATCCATCCATCCATCCATCCATCCATCCATCCATCCATCCATCCATCCATCCATCCATCCATCTGCATCCATCCATGCCATCCATCCCATTACCATCCCATCATCCATAGCCATCCATAACAATGCCATCCATCCATCATCCCACCATCCATCCACCATCCATCCATCCATCCATCCATCCATCATCATCCATTCCATGCCATGCATCCATCATGCCATCCGATTGCATCCATGCCATCGCCATCATCCATCCATCCATCCATCCATGCACCATCCATCATACCATCATCCTCCCACCATCCATCCATCGCATCATCTATCCATCAATCCTCCATCCATCGATCATCCAATCCATCATCCATACCATCCATACCATCCATCCATCATCCATCCACCATCCATCCATCCATCCACCATCTATTCATCTAATCCATCATCCATCCATCCATCCACATCCATCATCATCCATCCAGCCATCCATCCATCGCATCATCTATCCACCATACCATCGCATCCATGCCATCCATCCATCATCCATCCATCGCATCCATCCACCCTCCATCGCATCCATGCCCATCACCATCCATCCATAGCCCATTCCATCCATCCATCCATCCATCCATCATCAGCCATCATCCATCATCTATCCATCCATGGCATCCATCCATCCATCCATCCAGCTATCCATCCATCATCCATCCATCATCCCATCCATACCACCATCATCATGGCCATCCATCCATCCATCATCCATCCATCCATCCATCCACGCATCTATCTATTCAATCTATCCATTCCTCATTCCATCATCCATCGGCACCATCCATCCATCGCATCCATCCATCCATCCATCCATGCCATCCATGGCATCCACATCCACCATCCATCCATCCATCCATCCCATCCATCCATGCCATCCATCCAATCCATCCGGTCCTCCATGCATCCATCCATCCATTCATCCATCCATC